TAAAAATCTATTTTCAAAAATTAGTATTTTCACCTCTAATTATGTAAATAAATATTAATTTGACGGAAAATTACATAAACAATAGTATATTTATAGTTTCCATGTAAATATATATGTGTATTATCATTATGTTACATAATATTACAATTTGTACATTTACATATACACCATAAAATATACTATTGTTTTTGTAATTTTCCGTCTTATATAAAAATATTAAAAGAATTTGAGGTAATAGTAAATTTCGAAAACAGTTTTAATTTTTTCCATTACAAATTACGTAATTTTTAAACATTTTCCATGGAATCATTATTATTATTTGTGTAATTTTAATATTGTTTTTTTAGTTTACATTATATGTACATATAAATAATAATACATTTTGTTTACAGCGCATTAATGAAGCAGTGCGGAGGGCCATCAATAAAGAAAAAAAGAAATTGAAGCCGAAAGGGTACACTGCCCGCAGATCGACATATGTGCCAAGATACCCGATGGTGCCGGAATACCCAGTGGCACCAGCACCGGTATATCCAACGACACACTATCCAGCAATATATCCAGCGGCACCGGCATATCCGGCATATCCGACACCCGCATTTCCAACGGCACCGGCGTATCCGGCACCGGTATATCCAGGATATTCAGCAGCTTCGCCATATCCGGCACCGGCATATTCGGCGCCATCATATTCAGCACCGGCATATCCAGCGGCACCGGGATATATGCCACCAGGATGTAATTATCGTAAGTACAACTATATTAATTAAATTGGAAGCAATGGGCTAAAGAATAAATCCATATAGTGAAAAGAGCCTATAAGAGTAGACACGGGTATTGGTGTGTTAAAATGCTTACATTCTTTATGTTACAATATCCACCAAACTCGATCTGCCGCTCGGTTTGTCGGCCTTAAAACACAGATCTTTTGTGTGAAGTCGGAAACTTGTAACTTATAATTAAATTGACAAACAATTTAATATTTTTCGATGCTATTTGCATCGAATGCTATTTGCATTTGCATTTTTAATATTTTATGCATATTTAATATTTTTCGATGCTATTTGCATCGATGCTATTTGCATTTGCATTTTTAATATCTTTCGATGCTATTATGCATCTATAAATTCCCCTCCCCCCAAGCCTGTAAAGAAATTATTGCGAAAAATTACAGGCTTGGGGGGAGGGGAATTAATAAATGCATAATAGCATCGAAAGATATTGAATTGTTTGTCAAATTAATTATAAGTTACAAGTTTCCGACTTCACGCAAGAAAACTGTGTTTCAAGGCCGACAAATCGAGCGACGCGCATATCGAGTGTGGTGAATATTGTAACATGAAAAATTTTAACACACACACCAATACCCGTGTCGGCTTTTATAGGTTTTCACTATATAGAAATATTTTGTTAGTGTACTAACCACAGTTTAGACTTCGGTATTTGTTTTTCCTCACTTCAAGCGCTGCGTGCAAGTAGTGTCGTTTTTAATGGTGTACTGGTTTTTGTTTTACGCGATAATGCTTGTTAACGCTAAACCGTTACACCAAGGTAGATATTATTTCTTATGGAACATTGCACTTGAAGTGGGAAAAATGATACCGAGATTCTGACTCTGCTTTCTTAACATTTACATGTAACTATCTGTAAATATTCATAATTGTTTTATTTGTTACAGCACCTGGATACTGGCGAGGATAAAGTG